GGTGTTGGGACTGTGGTGGTGTTGCTGAGAGTTAGTGAGTTTTATTGACAATCGAAGTAGAAGCAGTGTGATATTTTTTGAAGCAAGTGATGGGTTGCTAGTGATGGACATGGTGATCTCTCTCTATTTGTGCAATTGGAATGTGTATATCTCTCTTTTATTTGTATACTCTTTCCTTAAGAGCAATGATATTGATACCTAAAAATTTGACTTAATCTACATACTTAAAAATAGTGTTTTATAAAACTGAAAGTTGAATATTGAAAATTAAATGCTAAATTTTTTAATTCGCAGACGACTTGATATCTACTGAAATTTAGGTATTGAATTAAATCAAACTATTTGACAAATATAAGAAACTAAAGTTTGAAAATTATTATTATTATAATTTTGTCCTTATTTTTAACTATTTCACTGCAATTACCTTATTCTTACTACTACCATCACAATGGTTGTAGTCATGACGGTGGTGATAATGGCGGCACAATAATGGTGGTGGCCACGGTGGTGATGGTGGTGGTAGTGGTGATGGTGTGGCGGTGGCACCACGGTGGGTAATAACACAATTTGTGGTGGTGGTAGTGATGGTGGCGGTGGTGGTTCTGGCACAATGGTGGTGATGGTGGCGGCACAATGGTAGTGGTGGCAGCGGCGACGGTGATAGTTGTGGTGATGGTGGTGGCTTATTGGTGGTAGCGGTGGTGGGTATTGAAAAGTTAAAAATGTAAAGTACATTAAGGGTATATTTGTCAATTATGAAGAATTTATAAAATCCTTACTAACATTTTCAGCATCAAGTGATAAATAGATGACTTGCTACTTAAAATTTTGGCATATTTTTAAAAAGTGCTTAAAATATTAAGTGGTATGAATTTTAGATTATTAAACAGGTTTAATTCATTAAGTGTTAAAATATTCATTTTTAAGCATTAAATCATGCTATCAAACAACCCCTTAATGATGTGGTAGTAACACAGTCAAATAGAATTATTGTAGCTTTAATTGTTTGTATGGGGGCAAAACTTGTACCTGACGACTCTTTTTTTTGAGGAACAACGATGAAAGTTTATTACTGAAAAATATCAGCAAGAAAGAGAGACAAAACAAATTTGGGTGCCTACTCCAACCATACAATGCTACTATTTAAAGGTACTTCAAAACGAGCTAACTCATGTGCTACATTATTCCCATTACGACAAACTTCAGACACTTCAAATTAGCGAAAACTTCTCACTATACTATTAATGTCTTGAAAAATGGCTTCTAAAGGATCGAACTCACCATCACCTTCTCTGATAGATTGCATGACCACTGCAGAATCCCCTTCTAGTATGATATCTACTAAACCTTTGCTGCCTTGCCAATTGGACCGCAACTTTTGCAGCTATAGTTTTTGCTTTACGGATATCACACCTCATGACAAATCTTCTGGACAAGGCCCCAACAAAATCACCCCTGTCATCTCTTATAACAACTCCCACCCCTAAGACATTTTGCTTTGAAAAAACAGTAGAATCGAAATTAACTTTGAGTGTACCTGCTCTTGGGGGACACCATCCAGCGTTGAGGCTTTGCGAAGGACTACTACCAGCCTGATCAACTGACTCTCTATACAGCCTATAATAATCAATAGCCTTCCTCTGCACTTCAACAGGGTTCTGAGCCATATTTTCAAAAATCCGAAGGTTCCTATTTCTCCACACAAAATAAGAAACAAAGAAAATTCATCAGAAGTGAGAACCTAATGAACATCGTGCAGCCACTGCCCTGAGTTCGATACCATAAATTGGGCTGCTGCCTAAACTGAATTGACTCTCCATACTGTATTAGCCCAAGGACAATCCCTTAGGCAATGTACCAAAGACTCCCCACCTTCTTGACACACTCCACAATTCCAGTCCACATTCACTTTCCTTCTCCGAAGATTATCCCCTGTTGGAAGAGCATTAGAACAGACCCTCCAGGCAAAGATCTAAATTTTATTTGGGATTTTCTGATTCCAAACAAAGTTCCAATTTAGTTGTCCAGCACTTGAAGAAGGAGATGAGTTGCTTGACCCATCTTGCAATAGCTTTTGATCAATAATAATATGGTATGTGCTTCGAACCGAGAATCTACCATTTGATTATAATGCCAAATCAATCTATCCTCCAATGAATTCCTGCTTAGTGGAATGCTTTTAATCACCAACACCTCATGAGGCAGAAAAACATCATCCACCAACTGCTCATTCCAACTCCATGATTGTTCATTAATAAGGTCCCCAACCGAAGTAGGTAAACTCCTTCTAGGAGAAACAGTCTTGAAGCTTACAGGGGTAGGAATCAACCTATCCGTCCAAATTTTAACTCTGGACCCGTCACCTATTCGCCATCTTGAACCTGCTTCCACAACTTTCCTTGCACCCAAAATGCTTCTCCAAGTGTATGATGGTCTATGCCCAATCTCAGCCTCCATGAAAGAAGTCGAGGGGAAATACCTAGCCTTAAGCACTTGATGGAAAAGAGAATTAACTTCTGTATTTAATCTCTATGCCTGTTTCGCAAGCATTGCCAAATTGAAGGCCCTTAGATCTCTGAAGCCCATACCGCCCCTCTCTTTCCTTGTACACATCCTTGACCAACTGACCCAATGTATTTTCCTCTCCCTTTGTCTTTGACCCCACTAGAATCTGGTCGCAAGTCTCTTGAGTTCTTCACAAAAATTATCCGGGAGTTTAAAACACCCCATGGCATATGTAGGAATGGACTGCACCACCACTTTAATTAAAATATCCTTCCCTGCTCTCGATAAGAGTTGTTCACTCCATCCTTGAATTTTACTCCGTATCTTTTCCCTTAAATTGCTGAAGACTTCTTTTTTAGATCTACCCATCACAGTTGGAAGACCCAAATATTTGTCATGTTGGTAAACCCGTTCTACCCGCAACATATGCTGAATTATGCTGGCTTGCACCTCCGAAGAATTGCTGCTAAATACCACTGCAGACTTTTCCAAATTGATTTTTTAGCCTGAGGCAACTTCATAAATCGCTAAAATTAGCTTCACAGCTTCAGCCTCTTCTTTAGATGCATTAAAGAATAATAAATTGTCGTAAGCAAACAAAAGGTGTGAAATACGTCGACCACCCCTTCCCACCGAAACTCCTATAATCGCACCATGCAACTCTGCATTCCGTAAAAGTGCTGTTAAACCTTCTGCACAGATCAAAAACAAGTAAGGTGAAAGGGGATCTCCTTGATGAAGACCCCTTTCAGGATAGAAAAAACCCATTTGATCATTGTTCAGCAAGATGGAATACGAAACAGTTGTAACACAAAGCATCACCAGAGTAACCCATTTACAATCAAACCCCAACTTAATCATCATCTTTTCCAAGAACACCCACTCCACCCTATCATAAGCTTTGCTCATATCCAGTTTTAATGGAACATGTCCCATTTTACCCCAATTCTTACACTTTAGAAAATGGTTAATTTCAAAAGCCACCAACACATTGTCGGTGATTAGCCGCCCAGGAAGAAATGCACTTTGAGATTCAGAAATAACCGATGGCAGTACATACTTTAGACGATTAGCTAAAATTTTTGAAATAATTTTATAAATGACATTACATAAGCTAATAGGTTTGAACTCATGCATAGACTCTGCATTCTTACATTTAGGAATGAGGACAATGTGAGTATAGTTGAACTTAACTGGAAACTGACCACCATCTAGAAAATTTAAGACACAGTTTATGACATCTGGCTCGACAATATGCTAGTACTTCTAGAAAAAAATAGGAGGCATACCGTCGGGACCGGGGGATTTAGTGGGAAACATTTGGGAAATTGCAGTTGATACCTTATCAATTAGAAATGTCTGCAAAAGCCTTGAATTCATTCCATCCGACACCTTACAGTCTACCTTGCTTAGCACTTCCTCTAGTTCTTGGGTTTGTGGTCTACTAGATGTAAACAGATTCTTGAAATACCCCACAACCACTTGTTCCATTTCATCCAAATTCTCACACCAACCCCCTTCTCCATTCTTGAGCTGTATAATTGTGTTTCTTCTTCGTCGTTGAGATGCCCAAGCATGGAAAAAAACTGTGTTCTTATCCCCCTCCTTCATCCAATGAACTTTCGATATTTGACGCCAATAAGACTCCTCCATATCGAGTAGATTATTCAATTCCGTCTCCACGCTTTGAGCTTGATGCCTAGAGCTCTCTGTTATACCACTCTGCTTTAAATTTTTCAACTTGCCCTTCAACGCATCTATCTTCACTGGAATCTGACCAACATGCACCTGTTTCCACTTAAGTAACTCTACTCTACAGCTTTGAATTTTCTTTGTAAACCCACGAGCCCCTTGACTATGCACATTAGAATTCCAGGCCTCCTGAATAATCTCCTCATAACCCTCTCTCTTCACCCATGTCGCTTCGAACCTGAATAATCTTCTCTTTGGACGCCTCACTTGAGTCGACAACCCCATGTTACTATCCAATAAAACTTTGTAGTGGTCTGATTCTTTTGAGAATTTACGGCAAACCCTCGAGTTAGGGAATTTCGTAATCCATGCCAGATTTGCACACACTCTGTCCAACCTTTCCCACACCGTATTTGGTTCCTTCCAGTTGTCGCACCAAGTAAAAGGGAATCCCACATACCTTAACCTAACTTTTTTCTTGGAATCCCCTCCCAAACTAGAAGTCCGATCCTCATTGCCTTCACTCTGGTTTCGTTTGCCATATAGATTCACTTGGGAGCTTGTTCGAACTGGAGGAATAGTGCCCTTCTCTTTTCTTCTCCACTTCTTCGTACCAATCAGTTCTCGAGTATAGGTAATTTCATCTAATCCTTCTGTATGTCCCAATTTAGGTAGTTGTTTGGGCTGGGCTAAAAAGGCAATGAGTGAGTCCATAAAATCTTCAATAGCTCAATGCTCCATCCATTCACTTTCAGAAACTTGTTGGTTACTGGACACCTCTAACGCCCCCACCACTCCATTATCTAAACTTGGGCCCTTTTCAATGGCCCAATTTCCTTTCGATCTATTACCCTTGTCCAAAGGCATATCCCTCTCATTTGGACTGCCATTATTACCCTTTCCTTTGGTAAATAATTTGGTATATTAACTGACACCTCCCTTAGTTCCACAGATATTTCTCTTTCCATATTCTGCCTCCCATAAAGGCTCTTAGTAATAGTAATTCCTTCATCTCCGATAATTGATCCCTTCCTTCCCATAATGCACTCCTCATTCACTGCCTTTCTATTTTTGTGGGGTTTTCCTAAAGATTTTGGTCCTCTTTCCGGCGAAACACCGCTGGACTTCTCCCCCCCCGGTGGTTTTTCCACTCTGGCATTTTGACCAAAAATGATTTTAGAACCTCTACCCACCGGAGCCCTCAACCATGCCCCAAATTGCATTGGTCCTTTCGTTGCTGGAACTGAATAATCCAGCTTTAACAAACATTCTCTTTCCCCATGGCCGAACCTTCCGCAACAATAAAAAAAATGAGGCAGCCTCTCATACTTGAAAAACACAGTAAAACTTGATCACCCCCCCACCCCTTTAATATTCACACCAAGGTTTATCAATATTAATAATCACCCGAACTCTCAACCGTCTTCCCCAACCTACACTGTTTGTCAAATCCGTTTCAACATAACTTCCTATCCTATTTCCTATAATTTCTGCATATTCTTGATTCATTCTATTGAAAGGTAGATTATAAATATGAACCCAAAAGGGACAACTTTTGAACGATACATTGGACACCTGAACCGAACCATCAAAATCCTTCAACAAAACTAAATGGTTATCAAAAGACCAAGGCATACCTTCAAGAACTCTGTTCTTATCTAGCATATTGCTGAACTGGATGAGAAACAAATTATCACCAACCTCTATGAATTCCACTTTGATATTATTCCAAACCTTCTTCATCATAGATTTGAAAGCCACCTTGTTGTAAAGCTTATCTGACAAGACTTTACCAAAAATACATAACTTGCCTTTCTCCCCAAGTTCGCCGTCTCCCTGATCTAGGAGATGAACTCCAAGACTCTCCTCCTCACCAAGTGTAAAATTACTCCACAACTGTTGCATCTCCTCATCCATTGTAAATTCTAGTAGACCACTCACACCAAAAGGGAAGACGTTTCAGCAAGCCAACCACCCTGAGCCGAATGGAATGATTCAAAACCTGCACACAGAAGAAGACAAAACAAACAAAGGAAAAGATGAACCGAAATGATGTCTTTATTAGAGGACGGACTATAATACCTAATGGGCAAGAAAGGGTTGTAATACTCAATGAAACTACCTAAGTCGATGACCATAAAAGAAATCCTAAGAACAAAAGAACTTCCATTAGATAGACCTAAGGAAGACAACCACTCTGCAAAATAGAGAGAAAACTCTACCCCTAGAGAGAGAGACTGACGTATGGCACTTAACTTATGAATGTGTGTGTGAGAGAGAGAGAGAGATAGTTTTTTGTATTTGACGAGATTGATGATGCGGAAACTGTAGTTTTAGAGGGAAACAAACAAAGTGTACCTCCTCCTCCTTCAAAATGACAAATTGTCAGAGGCTAGAGATTAATCGGCTGGAGACACTCCGCTGTTTAGATTAGAAAGGGTATTGACATTAAGGAAATAAATTGTAAAAGAAGGAATGCTTACCCTAGATTTAAGTCTCTCGATATTTATAGGGTTCCAACACTATTTTTAGGGTTTAGATTTATGGTTGTATTGTTGGGAAGATGATATCATATATACATTTTTACTTATTAAAATTTCTAATATATATCATGCAATTAAGAACAAAAAATAGTAACGCATAAATCTGACTTGATTGTCGAATAAGAATGGTTTAATAATTTGATCAAGGCTAGTGTTTAACATTATATCTTTAAAAAAGACTTCGTGTTCACTCTGGTGCTTATGGATTATTGAGTATGTGTTTCCCAAGATACAATGATCACGCAAAAAAGAAGAGTATTATAATTTGTCTGCAAAGAGAAGCAAAAGTTATGTTTTCTACTAATACCCAAGCCCAAGCTCTATTGGGGAGGGCGGGTGGGCGAGCGATGGCAGTGCGTGCGCGTGTGGTAGAACCCAAGCCCATCTAGGTTTTCTCCCGTCCAAAAAAGTGGGATGCCCCTTAGTGTCGAATCCGTAGAGCAAGCTTGAGGTATATATGCTCACCATAATTTCTTTACCCAACCAATATGGGATTGATGTTAAATCCCACATATCCCAACCTCTATCTCTACATTCTAAGTGGGTCACTTTGGTGAGTATTTTCTCATTCACCTTTTACTTGATTTGAACAAGCAAATATACTATATTATTCTCTTCACGGAGTAGAACACAAATTCATAAAAAATTATTCAAAACAATAAGTGAGTTCCACTTTAATTTAGGCTCAAAGTAGACCTAAAATCAATTTTTTTATACCCAAAAAACTGTTTTAGTCTAACAATCCCTCACATAAATGAAAATTTGATTGTAAGTATGATAATTCTAACACACCATAGAGAGTACATCTTGAAAAGATTGTGAATCGAGATAGGTAGTTTGTGGCATTAAACCTTTCCTAGTGAATGTCCATCGGACTTACCAGCTAAATAGTGAACATGATATCTTGAACTATTCAGTTGTTTGAGTAATTAAATCAAATAAACTTCACAAAGTCTCTTCACAATACAATTGGTTCTCATGATTGTGTTCATTTGGGTCCTGAACAACTCTTGATTTTCGTGAGTGCATTAGAGAATCCAGCTTTACAATTCTCATAAAAGAGACCCCTGTACGCCTATATAGGTGACTCATATTTAGAATATCCTACTATATCCCACTAGAATTTCCAAGATCTAAGAGACATTAAAAACATAGCTTACCCTAATTACCGTTGTAGGTAGCGATAATTTATCATATGAATAGGTTGAAGAGTTTGTCTCCATAGTGCTTCCTTTGAATTGCATATAATTTGATTGTCTATTTGAACCTAGATTCTGGGATCTTTAGTCAACTAGGTCAAGTTGTAATTATGGGGACTCTTAAGTCATATGTTTTAATCCCATTCAACTCGATGCGCAATTTACTTTCTCTCTCATCAAACCTTTGGTAAGCGGATTTGCTAGATTTTTCTTTGACTTCATATAGTCAATAGAAATCATCCCATTTGAGAGCAATTGCTAAAAGGTATGCCATGAGAGGTATCTACCAATGCTTGAGAGAGCTAACCACTTAGAACAACACCAAAACGAGAACAACAACCATAATTGGGTTGTTCAACCATGGGCAGCAAGATAAGCGAATGGAAACGAGAATTTTAAGGTAGCACCCGCCTACTTTTTAGGGAAGCTCTAACCCGATGGATGCCGATAAGTGGATCTGTAGGGTAAAGAAGATGTGTGACAACATGGGGATTGTTGAGGACCTCCGAGTCGATTTGACTTCCTACCTTCTAGAAAGGAAGAAAAACCATTGATGGGATTTGGTGAAGAAGATGAGGAATGTTGATGTGGAGAAAATACAACACTTCACACGTAGGATCTTTCCACTTGATTATACACGAGGAATCGCACGCTAGAACTAGATGTGAGATGAATAGGTTAATTTAAAATTAAGCTCGGATGACCTCCAATTTTAACCTATATTTACCACAATTACCTCTTCTCATTAAGATATGACAATTTAAGTGAGAACCCCTTTTAACATGAACAACCCATTAAGAGTGAATGGATGAATGAATATGCAATCAACACCAACCAATCTGTCTCATGTTGAAAGTCTCCTTACTTGGCGTGGGATTAATTTTATTAAGCAATCTGTCTCACGTTGGGGAATCATAAATCCTACCATGTTTTTATAAATGTTGTGTTAAAATGCACATTAAGGATAAGGAATACAAAAAGTGCTTTAGCAAAATAATTCTAACTTATTTGAATAAGTATATGGTTAATAAATATGTTGCAACCAAGCATGAGAATTACTAAGTTAACAACTAAGAATCTAGTAACGATTCATGGTAAGGAACTAGTCGGATAGTCGTACAGAATTACTAGGAAGAATTGATAAGTTGTTATGAACATGGAAGGTGTACATGATTCCTAGTGATTAAATGAGACTCTAAACCCTAGTAAATAGATGTAAGCTTAGGTGATCAAGTTAATTCAATAAAGGGGCAAACATGAAAATGAATATTATAAATTACATGTTGACTACTGAGACATAGGATGATTTTGCAAGAATGAAACTTAGGAAAAGGATACTAAGGATACGAGTGGCATAGACATAATTTAACAGAAGGACGTGTGTGGTTGTGTTAAGGATCTATATATAGATCAAGATGTTGAAGGAACATATTTAGGAATCTTAAATGGATGAAGTAAGATGGATACATGTTGATTGATTATCTTCTTGCAATGTAGGAGGTAAGATGGATATAGTTTGTTGGATGGATTAATTGATTATTTCTTAAGGACCGTGTATTTGGAAGGTTGAATGATGAAAGAAAATTAAAAATCTAATCTTATTTTTGTAAATAAAAGCAACTTTTGTAGGTTTGATCATATATTGGGGCTTAGTGTGACATAGCTAGATCTAGATATGCTTAAGTTTCTAGGACAAAACTTACTTTTAGGGGTGTGAATTGTAATTCCCCGAAATGGGGGTTAAAGTTTTATTTGAATTATGATGAAATTTACAAATAATTAGTTGATTAAATTGATACTTTTAAAATTAGGGTTGAATCGGATTGGAGGTCAAAACTCATAAGACATTAAGAATTAGATGTTTGCTAAGCCTTATCCATAAACATAGCATGGATGACTGGTACAAAATTAGATCTGATACTTGATTCTGATAGAGTTGGATTCTTGGGTTAGCTCAGGTTATCGGCTACAACTAAGCTTTGATTTATTGATTAGTCATTACTATGAAGGTTTTTAGGCTAAAAGGACATCACTAACAAATTTAGGGTGTCAAGAAACCCTGGAGTGGATTTCAGAGGATGTAGAAATCTTAAGGGACAAAATGGTGATTTTGATGTATCAGTTATAATTTGGTTTGTGGTTGGTGATAAGTCACTAATATAGTGTTAATATAATATTTCCAATGGAATTTGGAGGTCAAAAAACTTTACGCTAGGTTATTGGTTGGTGTGGTGGTTTAGAAGGGTAAAAAGGGCTTTTTAGCATTTTGGACATTAATTAAGCTTGAGTTTCCAGATAAATCTAAAAATTAAATATTTTTAGGTTAAATAAAACTAGATTTAGATTTGGAACGTCAAAAAACCTTAAGTTACACATGCAGAGTAAATCGGAAGGTTTATATTTATAGTGAAAAAAATAATTTCACGAGGTAGGCTTGCACCAAATTTCGGTTGGACAGAATACTTAGCTGGTAGACCTTTGAATGCGGTTGATCGACTCCATTGATGTTTAAGTCGGTTTCTTGACCAGTTTGCTTCGTTTTCGCTCCACTATAAATACTCTTAACCTATATTCTTTTACTGCACCTTCGAAATTTCACTAAGCACCTTTAAAATACTTAAAATAAAAGAGAGGAAAGGCTAGCCTGAGCTCTACGGATCTAGAGTTCGATTACACTGATTGACAAATATTGGGTATTTTTCTCTTTGGAGGTAGGATTTCTTTTATGATTTCTCATTAATAATACATTTCATATTTGTTCCAGGATCTAATGCCAAATATATGTTTAATATTACAAAATTTAGTTATGTTAATTGCATTATCGATTAGGATTTAGCAGGGTTTTGCTCTTTAAAGATGATTTCTCGCATTTAATGTTTTTGAAACGATATGTTGAATCTTATGATATTGATAATTATGTTTTGTTATGAAAATGAATATTGGATATAAATGTTGCTATGGATATGATTATTGTATTTTATATAACCTAATTATTGTGTTGGTTAATAATAGTGAATTATCAATATATTATTATTTTGGATGAATTTGAAAGAATGGGTGCACAATATTGATGTTGGAAAAATCAGTGAGGAATATTGGAGAACAGTAATTACCTGTGTGGTGCTGTAGATGTTTGGTATTAGTTTTCCTAGTAACTAACATTGCACGGTTTATGGGTGGTATGTGTAAGACCCCGTACTAAAATTAAATAAGGATAATACTATCTCAAGATTTCTCAAATAAATAAAATGATGGTAGAAATTTTAAAATATTTTTGAAAGATTGGTCATAAAGTTTGAGTTTTGCGCGCATTGACTTTCATGTGATACTTAGTTTTGGAGGTGTTTAAGCTTAAGAATTATGGCCAGGTAAGTTTCTAAATGTTTTTTTGGCTCAATATAAAGATACCATTGAATTCAAAAGGTCGAGAAACCTTAGGAGATGTGATATGGAGTGTATTAGAACTTTAAAAGTATTCCGAAGTTAAAAACGCATTTTTGAGAGAATTTGAGTTGAAAAGAATTTGACACTACCTTAATATTTTTTGCCATAATTTTTCACCCTGATGTCCAATTGATCTGATGTGTGGACATTAAAGCCCAGACTTCAAAGGCAACAAAAGTGTATTTCACAAACATTTCATGAAATCAACTTCTAATTAGGTCAAAACTGTCTTGAAAATTCAGGCAGAAACTGGAGTCTATTTGAATGTAGCTTAGCCCTAGAAATTTAGGCATGATAGATAGAACTAATAAAACAGGAGATACTAGAAATGGAGCATGTTCGGACACCAATCATGTTCAAATGTGAGTGCACGTTTTACGGTGATCAGGTTCACGCTGACTGAACAATTTTTGACCTATAAATACCCTAAGGATATTTTTTTAGGTCTGTTTAGCAACCTCCAACCCTAAGAAACTTTGAGGAAATGAAAAAGAGGAAGAATTGTCTAAATTGTGAAGGATGAATGCATAAAAATCACAACAAAACATGCTAGGATCGACTAAACTGCGGATATAGGAGTTTTTTCTCAAGATGATTAGGCTATATAATCATATTTTTTTTCATCCTTCTTGAATAAAATACATGATTTGCATCCCAGATCTATTCGTTCTTATTTTAAAATTCCAGTTCTTGACTCCTATTCTATATATGTGATAGATCTATAACGTTTTTACATTCTTTTTTAATATATGCTTTAATTTTTGAATAAACACATGTTTTACATCACAAATCTCATGTTATTGATTCAAAAACCCTAGTTCTTGATTATGATTAATTTAAATATGTTTCTTTGAGTTCTCTTGTATGATTGCTTGAAGTTGTTCTATTTGGACAATTGTGGAACTATGATTCATAATTACATGTGGATATTATGAAAATTTATAGAAATTATCTATTGTATGGGTGAGTGTGATGAATGTGGGATGCAATTGACAAGATATCGTGTGGTGCTTAGATAAGTTTCTTACCTTTAGGGGTTTGAAAGATCCCTATCAATTGTAGTGGAATTGTTTGGTTCCTTGTAAGGTTCAAGAATTTACACTATTTGCTCAATGTGATCGAGGCAGATGGCTAGTTACTATTCCTGGGAAGTTACGTCAATGCAGATGTATTGGTATACATGCTTCTTAAAAATGGTGTATCCGTATGAGGATTGGTTTGATGATTTGGATGCATGTGTGTATGGGTCACGATATTCTCGATATGTAGTTTCACTGCAGTCAACCTATGTACACGAGATATACTTGTTGTGACCATCTATTTCTTTGAGAATGAGTATTACTTATTATTGAACCTTACTGTTTTATACTATACACTTGAAATCTCATTAACTGTCACTGTTTTACTTCAAATTATTATATGTTATTTTACCAACTGAGACTTGTCTTATGATTTCTAAACATTGTTTGAGTTTAAGAAGGTTTTCCTACTAGGCTTGTTTGCTCACCCCTACGACATAAATATTTTTCAGAGTTTGGTGGTGACAACGATATAGGGTCTGGTGAGCAGGTGGAGTGAGATGTCGAGTTGGATCATGATGTGGATCCAGAAGTGGATGCTTAGAGAGTTTCTTTCTATATTTAGATTTTCTGAACTCCCATGTATCTAACAATGTTCATGAATATTTCTTTAATTTAGTTAGTTTCAAGATATTATTCGATTTTGGGATGTAACGTTAAGGAGATATTTACGTTGGATTTGGGATTTGCTTAGTTATTTATGTTGGGTGATGGATGATGTTATTTATTTAATGGTTATCTTAGAACACTCTCATAATTCGATAGTTGATAGTTAGTTCATATTTGAATTGGAATTTGGGGCCTACAATTTACCTATAAATCCTTGAGAGGATCAATGAGTAGTAGTGGAGGGCGGTAATTGTATATGTGGTGCCGCGGATACCTGATACTAGTTTTCATAGGAAAGCAAGAAGGTCAAAGTGTTTCTTAGGGTGCAAGGCCCCAAACCTCCTCGGGAATACTCCATGTATGGACTAGTTATGATTTAGTTGGTTATAATTGATACTTGTGTCATGACAAGTTCTTTAGATTAATATTCTAATATCCTTGCACTTTTACTGTTTTATGAAACATGTTATGCATATAATGCTTTCTATTGCATCAAGTACCGATTTTTATTATATGATTATGTAGTAAAATTGTAGTGTGTTTACCCCATATATTATTTTTCAAAACCTTGATACTTTGAGAAAAATTATCCTATTGGGCTTGTAAAGCTCACCCTCCTTATTTTTCAGGTTGAGAATGGTGAGAGCATCTGGATTGGAAAAGTCAAAGAATTGAAGTTAATTGAAGATTTACAAAACTTGATTAAAGACTTGTATTTTACTATTTAATTTAGAGAGTTTGTTGTAGTTTAAATTGAGATTTCGGGATAGTATAACCTTATTTAGAATGAATGGTTCATTGTATAATTTGGAGACTATATTATCAATTTTAATTATAATTAATGTAATAGAACTCTGACCCTTGTATTTTGAGATTATATGTGAATTATCGATATTGATTTTATAAGTTAATGTATCCGGGAAAACCAGGGCATTACACACCATCAACTCAACCCTAACTCCATCATTGTCGCCACCACCTCTCCATTTTCTATGCTACCACCATGATGGTAGTGATGGTTGATATCGTCATGGCAGTGTAGGTAAAGGTGGAGGTGGTGGTGGTGGCAGTTATGGGGTTGTAGAGGTGATAGTGGTTATGGGGTTATAGGGATGGTGGTGGTTGTCGTTGAGGGGGTGGTGGTGTTGTGGAAGTGAATGGTGATGTATGTGGAGTAGTGGCTATTGTCAGCTAGTGGCGTATGTGGGCATGGGGCGATGGCGATGGGGTGTAGAATGAAAGGCAAAATTGAAAAATTAATAATTTTACACTTTAGGTACTTATACTAATCAAATAAGTTGACTCAAAATAATTTTCAAATTAAAAAATTAGTACTCAACACTTAAATTTCAAAGTATTTGTTTTTTAATTTTATCAAACAACACGTATCACTTTCAAGAAATTTTTGACATAACGATATAAGATAGTAATTATATGAGTTTTTAAATAATAAAAGATTTGTAAAATAGACAATATAGACCCGGGTATGAAGTTTTATTAAAGAGACACATCATGTCGACTTTTTTGTGCTTCTATTTAATCATGACATCATCCATAGCAAATTTTTACTAAATGTGATAGTACGAGAAATATTCTAATTATTTTGTGGTGAAAGTAAATTTAATCAAAAATACGAGAAAGGAATATGATATTTGACTTAAAAGGATGCTGTTATTTTTAACCATAAAATAAAATGATTCAAAGGTGTTCAAGATAAAGCATCCCAATGTATAAGAAGAAAAGATAAGCTACTGTTTATTAATATTTTCCTTTTTTTTGTTTTGCAGAGGAGAGGGGAGAGGGGGATTTTTTTTTTTTGAACCTTTGATTTTAAGAAGACAAAGTCTTCACAAGATAAAAAATATCATTGAATCAAAGACCCATTATTAATGTTTTCCTATGTACTGTTCTTTTTTTTAAAAAAAAGTTTTTAATTTCTTTCTAAAATATTTTTTGTTTTTGTATGTATTTTTAATTTTAAAGAGGAAGAAAATACAAAGATTTTTTTTTTGGGCAAGAGATTTAAACCTTTAACTTTAAAAAGACAGAGTCTTTAAAAAGTAAGAAATATCATATAACCAAATGCCAGTTTGTTCATGCTTGAAGCTTTCTCCTCCTCCTCTCTTTTCTTTTATGCTATGTTTGCAAAAAGTTAGAGAAAGGAAAACGAAAGAAAAACCACTTCCAAGCAGTGTAGATAATCAGCTGAGCTCAGCATCAGCTAATTTTAGCAGCTTTGCCAAGTAATCGTTTTCAATCTGAGGTTACCTAATCCTAGTACCCATAAAATCATAGTAAATCCCAATACTACAGATAAGTAGCATGAAGCAAATTCATCATCATCATCAAGTACCCCTGAATGAAACAGACCCATTTCAAAATTTAACCAGCTCCTACCTATACAGAACCTGGTTCGTCATCAGCTGCTGATCAAACTAAGGATTGGGTTGTGAGAACCTTTGAAACAACAAATTTCCATGAAAAATGTGGACGTCTAACTTCCAACGAATCAAGATATGTTCTTTAAAGTGTCATTGATCGGAACTGGCAAATCACCAGCTGCTGAAAGGGACGAATCACCACGAGAGGGGAAAGAAGAGAAGCAGGAAGAGAGAAATTTCTCCTCGTGCTTTTCCCCACTTTCCTTACCATTCCATAAAAGGAAAAGGGGCTTTCTCAGACCCTAACCGATTCTTTTACTTGTCCCTTTGTTTCATCTTCCTCAGCACCCAAACAATAGAAAAGTTTTTTCTTGCTGTTTTCTTTTCATTCCCTCCTATTTTCTTAGATCCACAACGTTGTAAATAAACTACCTAGATAATACCAAGTTAAACTTGAGAATCACAAAATCGAGCGATAAATAGTGATTTCGAGCAATTAAATACAACCTGGGCTAATATATTATGAAACTCGACAATGCAACAACATTTACAAAACAGATACATGTTTCCTATATTGCATACAGTTAACTTGTTAACAGATCTATATGGTCAATACACCACAAGTAAAAAATTCACCACTTTAGCCTGATTCCCTCTTTGTACAAACACTTGCTTTTGTCTCCACCTGTAAATAGAACAGAATGTTCTCATCAAACATTTTTGTGTTAAATATAAACAAAGCAGTATTAAAACTCGACAACAAAGCTCAGTTTGGTCAGGAAAATTATTCCCGGCTCAAAAAGATATCGTCACTAATATCCTCTCCTGGCTTGATCAAAGAGCTGCTAAAATGGAGCAAGCATAATAGCTCTAGCAGTACGAGTAGCGGGAATATACATGTTCATCTCTTCACTTGCTGAAGGAAAAATGGTTGAAATAGCATAACTCAATGCTTATATGGGGAACGTTCCAACAAGTAAAATAATTTTAGAAAGATATTTGTAGGAATACAATGACAAGTTCATAATCCAAGCCACATTTTTATTTGTATTTTTTTTGAACTGGATAATCCAAGCCTCAAAAAACTTAAAATCAGGTGGTCATGATGCAGCCTATCCAAACTTTATTTTTGGCTGGTGATTTATCATACTAGAATCAATTATAGCAACACCTCTACTTGTCATGGATGTACACAATTCGTCCAACATTAATTTCGACAAGATAGCAGACCCTCACCTAAAGACAGCCTTGCACCAATTTAGTGAAAAATAAGTGCTCTCCATTTTCCCACTTGGACAGATATCCGTGGAAGAACAATTGCCTTGTTTGAATGACTACTGATTTAGCAGTTGCTGAGAGAGATGCTTTGAGTGTAATTGTTTTGATGCCAAGCCCTGCAACTGGGTAGGTCCCACATTAGACTGATTCTGCAATTAAAGAGAAAATCAAATTAAATGAATCCACAAAAGCAAAAGCTCAAATTAGCCCAAGGAATCATGCAGTTACCATATCTTGCAAACTGTCCTGAATGCCAAAACAACTATGAAAAGTTTGTGGTCTGAATTGAAATTGCCCCTACAAGCATTCAAATATTGTTATTGGAACAAGCAATATAAATTATGTGTATTTCCACAAGAATTCTGATACTTGAAAAAGAAAACTCTCCACTTATCAAGGTATTAAGTGGTGCCAACGAGATGACAGCAATGGAAAATTAGGAAACCATTTCATTTCCAAAAAATTAAAACCTACTAGAAAGTATTGTCATCCTGTTGCAAAACCAAGTCCCTTCTCAAGCACATAATTGCTGAGCCTTACCAGCCCATGCAATCTTTGCTGAGCAAGGTAATGACCATCATGGATTGGAGCTATTGAACTTAATTGTCCCTACAAGATGAATAAAATCCGAGTTAATAGCCTGATATAAGACGAAAAAATAAAGAAAATTGAACAAACAAGCTGTGGTAGAAATGGTATTATAATTCACCAGGCCCTGCATGCTAGGTTGATCGCTATAAGAATCATCACGACTTGGAGTTATCATGTTTACTTGTCCCTACAACAAGAACCAAAGATACAGCTAAGATTGGATCATTGATATGAATTAACTCTAACTCCATGGTCAATAATACATTATGAGCATAGTTGAGAAGAATATCTCATACCATTCCCTGAACAATTTGTTGAGTGGCCAAGTAACCATCAAAGGTTGAAATTCTTGAGTTCAGTTGTTCCTACAACAAGTATAACACTTCTGATCTAAGAAACAAAAAGCTGTCAAATTACATTCAGAAGTCTGGGCACCATAAAATTTCCTTTTTAACACATTTTGATCACTATTGAATACACCATACCATTACTTGTATGCCCTGTTGCGATTCATAAGAACAATCACGGGCTGGTGCTCGCAAATTTGTGTTTCCCTACAATATTGGAACAATTCTTTACAATAATATCTATACTTTGTTATAAAAAAAACCTTAGGCCTATGTCTCTTTCAAGAATACAAGTACGCCAAAAAGGGAAAAATTAAACTCACCATTTGTTGCCAACCACTATGCATGCCTATGGTAATTGCCTCTAGTTCTGGCGTTACCTAAGGCATACGAAAAAAGGGTCTAATCAATCAAAGCCAACCATTTGAAAGAATTTGTAATTAACTGGGATTATGAGCATAATACATTGCAACTTACCTTTGGTTTTCCAGATACATTGTTCTTTTTTTGTGTCTTGCTTGTACAGTTACCTTGAGTCACTTCTTCAAAGTCGTGAAGACCATGAGTTGATGGAGAACTGGGCTCTAACACACTCTGAGTTGAGTTATTCACAGTCTCACACTTTCTCAAAGCTTCTTCAAGTGCATGGAATGCGATATTATAGCTTTCTTGAGATAAAGACCCTTCATCACCCAGTTTAAAGGCCCGCCGACATAACTCTGTGTATCGTTGAAACCTAGACTCAATTATATCTGTTTGCCTCATCGGCCCCCTATTCTTTGCATCCTTCGTCCAACGTTTCAAAATATATTGAGATGGGATGTTATGCACACCCAATATTTGAAGGACAATCATCACGTGTCTACAAAGGAAACCATTGAACTCGAACAAATGACAAGAGCAAGTAATATCAGAAGTTGTTTCATTCCAAACCACAATAAAATCTTGGTTCTCTTCAAAATCTTGAACCTTGAATGTTATGGTATCACCATCTTCACTTTCCTTTTTTGGATGACATGCAACCACTCCCAAAACCTCAACTTGGAATTTCTTGAATATGGCATGCGTGTACATTGTTGCCATTTGTTTCCCAAAAGGTGAGGGAGATTTCAACCCTGGTTGTTTATGCCACGTCTCAAAATCTGCTTTTGCTTCCTCTTCATACTTCTCTTGTAGAATTGCTTTGTATTGGTCTAAAAACTCTTTCAATGTAGTTTTCCGCTGAATGCATTTATCTAAGAAAGAGGTTATACTCTCCAACCTTTGTGCTGTAGACATCCCTGCCAAAAAAATGTCTCTCATGTATGTAGGAATCCATCGTTCACGATCTTCATACAATGATTGAAACCATACATCATTTCTTAGTTCAAATCTATCACACATTTTCCACCATCTCTTTTCAAACTGTTCATCTGTACCCGACTTTAAAATACATTTGTTAAATTTACTAAGAAAACTTCCATGTTGTCTCATCACATAACTAAGCTTTTCCTGAATCTTGCTCAATATGTGCCACAAACAAAAACAATGGCGAGAATTTGGAAAAACCTCAGCGATAGCTTCTTTCAATGTAATGTCTTGATCAGTCAGTATCACCTTTGGAGCTTGTCCTCCCATTGCTCTAAGCCATGCCTGCATTACCCATATGTATGTGGATTTACTCTCATCTGCAATCAGTGCACATCCAAGCAACAGGAACTGACAGTGATGGTTTACCCCAATAAAGGAAGCAAAGGGCAATTTATATTCATTCTTGATATATGTAGTGTCAAAAAACACTACATCACCAAAGTTCCCATAATCAAGCCTAGCCTTGGCATCAACCCAGAAAACATTTCTCAAACACAGATCTTGATTCAAATCTATTGCATGGAAGAAGTTGGGATTCTCATCTTGCATGTACATAAAATGTTCAAGCATCACTTGTGCATCTCCTTCCTCTAAGGCCAAATGCTGTCCACTAACACTGACAGTACCACTCTTTTGATTCTCAACTTTCTTCATTCCACCAGACTGTTTAGACATTGTCACATACATTTTTTTGGTCCTTGCTCTGATAGCATGCAGAGCATCAACATTACTGTTACCTAGCTCTATATTCCTGTGACCTCGAAAGTAATAAGCTTGATCTGGAAAAATTTCATGGTTATGCTCCTTTTTGAAACTATGAATAATCCATATTCCATCCTGCCTTCGTTTAACATGCATGCAAGCCTTGCAATCTGTTTTTGACCAAGATCTATTTATTCTACCTCGCTTTCTCTTGACAGGAATGCTTGCGATTCCATCTGCATTTGACACAGGCTCTGGGGTTTCAGCCATAACAGAATCTCTCTTGCTTCCATATCTAGTACAGACAAATTTTGCATCAATAAATTTGCCAGATATTCTTGATCGGCGGCTGGCCTTTATTATAGTGGCAAATCCAACGGACTTTGCATATTCTTTATAAAATGAAAAAGCATCCTCCTTGGATTCAAATTCCATACCATCACGAGGCTCTAAATCTTGATGAGAATTCACAGCTACCCCACCTCCAGAGTGCACTTGGTTTTCGCTATTTGATGTGCATCCTCTCACGCTTGGTACAGTCTTCTCTCTATTATGTTCAATGATCTTAGGACAACAGACCGTGGCTCCATCATTATTGCGCACTTCACCTCCAGCATCCTCCATATTTACAGACTCATTTGGCCTACTGTCATCCTTATGATGTTCTACTGATGGCTGTTCAAGGTCTATTCCCATTGACAGATATTTTTTTTCTTTTCCTTAGTTAAATTGTTTACAAGGTGCCTGAGGAAACAGTTAAAACATGCAGTCACTGATTGTAGACGATACCCATAATAGGACAGTAAACTTTTGCATTCTACAAAAATTTACCCAGGACAGTATTAAGAAAATATCCATTACAGCTCGGACTTCATCAATGTCAAAAAGTGATGACTCTAACTTAGCCCATTCGAGTAAATGTTCATATAAATGGTTCCGAAGCAGGGACATATGAACAAAACAAGTGAAATTTGTCCAAATTGCTGAAAGAAACCATTAACAAATCAATTAGAATTCAATTCATTTAAGATGTTAAAATTAAAAGCAACATGAAACAACAAAAGCCATAGAAGTAGGGCGTGAAAGAGAGAGAGAGAGAGAGAGAGAGAGAGAGAGAGAATAAAATAATAGCAAGCAATATAGTTAATTAATACCAAGATGTCTTCAAAAACTTGAGATTGGAGAGTTTGGCCCAGGTGAACAGTTTATTAACTTTCAAATAACTATGGCGTTTGAACAATTGTTTATGCTGTGGTCATGTGCACAGAAAAATAAGAAAGAAAGATATACACACATTCCAACCACCCTCTTGACAATGTTAGCCCGTTATTTATGTAAGTAGGAGTCTTATCCCTTATTTATGTGCGTGTCCGCCTATATATAAGTCTGTATGTAAGTTTGTGTGTATATGTGTGTGGTTGAATTTGTATAAAAGTATAAAGAAAGAAAAAAGAAGAAAAGGGACAAGATAGAGAAAGTTTATAGTTGTGAAAGAGTCAAAACTTGGTTCTCTCCCTCGTGACCATATGTTAATCGTGACTTGGGTTCTCTCATATTGTTCTTTTCTTTTGTGTTTTCTGTTTCTTTTCTTGGTGGACTTTATCCTTCCATGAACTATCTTTTATTTATAAAACCTCTTTGTCATTGACGAAAAATAAAAATAAATATATCGTAACAATTTATCCACAATTTCCAATAATTCTAACAATTAACATAACGAATTATAAAATAAGAGAAATGGTATGAAACATACAAATATTAGTAAATAATTTACATCCATGGTTCAACGTTCAATAAATTATTACAATTTCAATTTCCAAAAGCCCCCCATTCGTAAACCATATTGTCATTGGATTTCAAAGAGCCATACGTTATCATAGTTTTCAACAATTTATTTGCATATAAATATTGTATTCTCGACACAACTAATCCCAACTATTCGAGACTGGTACATAAATCTTATTTCTTCATTGTGCTCTATCAAGGGTCTTAGTTTCCGTTAAACCATAAACTATCATATCTTTTACACTATTTCGTTCAAAGTTAATTTCAGTCTATCTCTACCTTGCATTACCATTGATATGTATCAAATCACTCCCTCACTAGTGCATCATTAGGTCTTCTATAAGCATATCCAAACCAGCTACATCGATTTTCTCTTAATTTATCTTCAATTGGTTCTATCAATGTTATTTAAGGCGTAAAGTAAACTGAAGCAAACAAATCTCTTGAGGCTTAGGAGAGAAGCGAGAGGTGAATCGAGCACTTCATTGAAGTGAAGCAAACAGTAAAAAAACAAGTAATATTTTAGTTTAATAATGTAATTTGAACAGGAGTAGATTCAGCATCTAAACAGAAGCAGAATCAGCATTTAATGATAATCAAACAAGAGCAGAATCAGCATCTAAACAATTAACTGATTAACACAGTAGTCCAGCAAAATCAGTATCTAAAAAGATTGAACACACTTTAAGAGCAGCTTAATACAGCAGAATTAGATTGAACACAGATTAACACAACAGTCCAGCAGAATCAAAAAATCAGAAACACAGCAAGAAAAAAAAAAGAACATACCTTTTGTGTAGAAGAAGAAGAGGGGAAGAAGTAGAAGAAAAAGAATATAGGAAGAAGTAGAAGAGGAGAAGGAGAAGAAGTACCAGAATGAAAAAGAAGGGGAGAAGAAGTAGAAGAGAAGAAGAATCCAAGGACATCTCTTTGGCATCTGTCCAGAAGAATCATTAAGTCGATCGCTTATTCGCTTCTTCAACTATTCTCACTTTTCTCTCGCTTCACCTATGGCGCTTCGCCTAGCCTGCTTTAGGCGACATAGGGTTGCTTCGCCTCACTTCTCGCCTAGGCAGGGTTCTACTTCTACAGTTTTATGAATCTACTTATTCCTACTCTATCCTCATTTTCACAACAGTTAGTTTTTGAGCATACCGGTTCTTAATTGCCCAACATTTTACATTATAAAGCATTACTGGTCTAATAACTGCCTCATAAAACTCACCTTTCAACCTATGGGGCATAACATTGAAGTATCCCCTCTTGGGTATCTCTTGATCTTCGATCTTTCTGCCTCCCTATATTAGCAAAACTACATACCATATTTTGTTTTATTTTTACTTATACTAAATCATTTTGATTCTAAAGTTTCTCTCCAAATTTCTTTTTTTTTGTGTTTAATTATTACTTTAGTTTTATCTATCAATACTATCATTGACAAATAATATACGCAAGGTTATCTCATTCTGAATGTGTCTTCTCCATTCATCCATAATCTACTAAGATTAGGAATTCAGTACTTTTCCCCCATAGTTGTTCTGACTAAAGTCAGAACACACTCATAACACATCTTTAATCATATCAATATATCTGTTTGTAACTCTCTTTTTCTTTGAAACCCGACATATTTTGTTGTTAGGAACTCTATCATATGCCTGATCTAAGTCTATAAATACCATATAGATCTATTTTCTCTCTTCACCTTTCCATTTGTCTCCTAAATAAGTATTATAGTTTCCAGGATTGACCTCCTAGACATAAATTCAAATTTATTCTCCGATACAGTGGTTTCACATCTTGATGGTTGCTCAATTACTCTCATTCAAAGTTTCATTGTATCACTCATTAACTTAATACCTCGATAATTTTTGCAGATCAGAATGACCACTTTATTTTTATATATAGGTACTAAAGTACTCTTCCTTCACTCATTTGGAATCTTCTTAATTGTTATAATCTCATTGAAGAATTTGGGAGTGGAGAAGCCATTATAGACATACTGGATTGTTTGTTGAACCATATTTTCTACTTCTTGACCAGAAGTACATTCTTGAAATGCCCATCTGCAAAAGCTAAAAAAGGTAGATTCTCAAAACCTGATGTTTGCACTTCAAGCGAAGTTAGCTGCTCTCATTTAGCTGCTCTCATTTAACTGCTCTCATTTAAGTAGTTTCACCGAATTCCTATATTGTCCCTACAATCTTGAAATCATTGTTTAGTGGGACTATCAATTAATAGTGCTCTTTGATTTATGGTGGTTAAATGATCGTAATTGTTAAGTTGAGTGAATTAACATAACACAATATTAGAGAGAAAGAGAGAGGTTAAAAACTTAACCTAACTCTCATACATCACTTGTATTTATAGTTAACCTACAGTAATAAGAATTATACATACACCCTCTTATTATTAACAATTTACACATACTACCCTATTATTCTTAACACTCCCCCTCAAGCTGGACTATATATATCATATAATCCAAACTTGGAACAAATAGCTGTAAGACGTGTACGACTCAATACTTTGGTAAACATATCTGCAAGCTGATCTTCAGATTTCACAAATGGAGTTGTAATCTCCCCAGCTACTATCTTGTCTCGAATAAAGTGACAGTCAACCTTAATATGCTTGGTTCTCTCATAAAACACAAGATTGACAGCGATATGGATAGTTGCTTGGTTGTCACAGAACAACTGTAAAGGAAGTTGAACTGGAAACCCAATTTCTTGGAGAAATTGTAGTAGTCAAGTCAACTCACTCGTCGTATGTGTCATTGCCCTATACTCAGCCTCAGCATTGGATCTTGCTACCACGGGTTGACAGTACAATAACCAGTGGTTGATCTTCGATCAAAAGGAGAGTCAGCCCAATCAGCATCTGAGAAACCTTCTACCCTAAGATGTCCATTAGCTCGATATAACAGTCAAAGTCCAGGAGCTCGTTTGAGATATCGCAGAATACGAGTAACTGTCTCCCAATGTGGTACTATAGGACATCTCATGAACTGACTTACTATACTAACTGCATAGGAAATATCCGGTCGAGTAATAGTGAGATAATTAAGCTTCCCAACCAATCTGCGATACCGACCCGGATTTTCAAACAATACACCATCATCCATCAATAATTTCTGATTCGAATCCATAGAGACATCAATCGGTCTACCACCGAGCAAACCTGCTTCCTCAAGCATGTCAAGTACATATTTCCTCTGAGATAAACAAATACCCTGTTTAGATCGAGCCACCTCAATACCTAAAAAATACCTGAGTTTTTTCAAATCCTTAGTATAAAATTGATCCTGTAAGAATATTTTTAACTTGACAATCCTCTCAGAATCATTTATAGTAATCACAATATCATCTATATAGACCACCACTAGGACATACCCAACATCTGTCTGCCTATGAAACACATAATGATCTGTCTGACATCGAAGAAGACTAAACTCTAAAATTGCATCTGAAAACTTACCAAACCATGCCCTCGATGACTGCTTTAAACCATACAAAGATTTATTTAATCGACATACACTCTTACTATACTCCCCCTGAGCAGTAAACCCAGGTGGCTGCTCCATGTTGACCTTTTCCATCAAATTACCATGTAAGAAGACATTCTTGACATCTAACTAAAACAAGGGTCAATCAAGATTAGCAGTCAAAGAAATCAAGATACGAACAGAGAAAATTTTGGCAACAGGAGAAAAAGTCTCCTCATAATCAGCACCATAAGTCTGAGTAAAGCCCTTTGCAATAAGCCGAGCTTTGAAACGCTTCACAGAACCATCTGGATGAAATTTAACAGTATACACCCAACGACAGCCAATAGGTCGTTTACCAGAGGGTAAAGAAACGAGATTTCAAGTCCCATTATGATGTAAAGCATCCATCTCCTCCTCCATATCTTTCCTCTAACCCGGATCAGATAATGCATTCTATAAATGCTTAGGAATAGATATAACAGATAATTGAGAAGTAAAACAAGAGAAGACAGGAGACAAGGTATCATATGAAACAAAATGAGAAATGGAATGATTAGTAACACACGAACGAGTACCTTTGTGAAAAGCAATAGGTAAAGAATCTAAATTACCTGATGTTCCAGGATCAGAAGGCAGCAAGGAAGATGGTACAGGCACTTCAGTAGATGGGCGAGGACAGCGAGAGTAAATATGGAGAGATAAAGTAGAAGTAGATG